AATATAATATATAACAACAAGATAATTTAATCAGTTAATTGTTTATCATCTATTGTGATTTCTAGTGTTTGCATGAATTAACAATGTTCTCAATGCATTGTCAATGCGATTTGGCTTGGCTCATCACACCTGACAACTGATAACTCGCTGGAAAACAACAACAGGTGTGCCTTTTCCCCACATAACTGATTTGCATATGCTTTGATATGCTTCATTCTCTCTCTCTCTCTCTCTCTCTGTTGCCCATTTTCCCTCTCTCACTCTATCTCTCTCTCTCTCTGCGGCCCGACTCTCGCTCGTATTTCGCGTTTGCGCTCTGCGTTTATTCAGCAAACATTTCTTGCTCTGAACCTCTGCTCAGAGCTTTTTTTTTGTTGGTTTTGCAAAATGATTTTCAGTATTTTCAGCGCCTTTGTCGGTTTAAGTGGCCAAAGGAATTGAAAATTGGGCTAGGCAGGAGCTGCGTTTGGCATCTTCTGATTGCCTGGTCACCAAAATTGTCGTATTTTGCTGGCTTCCATTGACCGTTTTCAATTGCTAGAAAATATTTCTGTTTGAGTTTACAATTATCTGTCAGCCCCTTTCCTCAGATTTTGCATGCCTAATGAATAGAAGTCAACAGGAAAAGAATTGACAGTTCGTGTTATGAAAAGTCAGTAACGAGCATAACCTAGTTCCAATGGCAGCGAGTTCAAATATTTATGCTGAAGAAATGCACAGCACACTGAAAACCCTGCACGTAGACTGCAGTCATCCAGAAGTAAATTCTGTTTTCATTTAATGCTTTTCCGATTGTTGAGGAGGAATATCTATGATTTCAGAATCATGCTCAAAGTGGATGAAGAATTAAACTTACTAAAATTATGACTGAATTTCAAATTTGCAATAAATTGAATCTGATTTTTGATTTCTTAACAATTTAAGTATTATTATTTTCTTTTATAAATTGAATTCCATTTGATAAATCTTCTCTAAAGCTGTGTGTTGTCTGATACCAATGCGCATTTATTTCTTTAACTTTTCATATAAATATTACATTTTGAAGTTTGTAATTGAAAAGTTTGGGAGTTACTAACTTAAAGTTGATTTATGGCGCTAACGCCAGTTCTCGGCCACTTTGCTTTGCTGACTTGCTTCTAACACAGTTTTCGTCCGTCTGTACAGGGTATTAAAAATATTGTGATAGGTGAATGAATTTTCACATGCCGTCTGTCGATTGCCAGCCTTTTGTTTTGTGCCACACATCAATCAAAATGCCATTTGGGCAGGCATGCGATGCGACCCAACTTCCGAAACCTTACATTTATTTTTTCTATTTTTTCGATTGAGCCCGAAATGCTTCTGCCAGCTGGCACGGCACGTGTACCTTTTTAAAGTTGGCTTAAAGCCCGCAAAATCTCTCAGTCGCTGTCTGCAAACTATCAACAAGTTTTATTTGCGGTCGTTCCTTTTTTGTTTGTTGTTGGGGCTACGCAATAAGAAGGTCGCCAAAGTGATGCTAAAAAGCGGATTAGGCGAACAAATGGCCTGCGGGC